CTGCAGCCTTAAAAGGTAGGTGGTGTTTTCAGACAATTTCTCTGTACATTACTAGAAGTGACAACCAGCAGCAATTAGGGGTGAGCATTCTGGAGCTGTAGAATCTTGAAATCTTTACATCAGTAAATTGAACAGAGCAATTCTATTTTTCTAAGAATTAAATATCCATAATACATGTCCCAAACTATATATAGTTGAAAGAACCAGACGATGTTTGTTATGTAACATACGATTTTTCTCCTTGAAGTAAGGGGGAAAAGTGTTCTTGAGTTAATGGAATAAATGTTACATGGGAGTGGTGAGTTAGTGATGGGCACCTATGTTTTACTAGCCCTTTGTGTTAGGGTATTTGTGTATTACCTTATACACATTTGGTGGTGAGTTTAAAAATCCTCCTTTTACAGGGAGACAGCTTTCCATTTCCTGGGCAGAGGCAAGGGTGATGGTGTTGGCTGGTTCTTCTTATAGTGATGGTTTCTCATCTTAATGTGTTTATGGCACTGCTGCTTTATTTACTGAGCCTAGTGTGTTGCAGCGGTAATTAACCCATGTTATTAGCAAAGCCCTTGTGGATATCCATTAATTCTCTTGCATGGATGATCATTTTTCTAGTGTTTTTCCCCCAATAAGATATCATTGTTCTTTTTTTATATATTCTAAATTGACGGCCTTTGATATGTTTCTTTGGTTTAATCTGACTTGTGATATATATACTGACCACATCATGAAGAATGAAATTGTGATTCAGCTCTTAATAATGCTAATAGAAGGAAAGATTTTTTTTTTGTTGTTGTTCTTTTCAAAGTAAAAAAAGACAAGACTAGAAATTCAAGCTTAAAAAGGAAATAATGTAGGAAATCAGTTTTAACTCTATCCTTTCCAGATCTCAGAATTTATGACAATTTGTATCTTTGAGGTCTTTTCATCAGGCTTTTATTTAGTTAATAACACTTTAGGCATTTTTGTAAAATATTGAGCCAGCAGAAAAATACTTGTGCTTCCTGTGCTGAGAAAAGATAAGGACCATCTCATTAGCTGGGCCATACTTTTGCAATTAATTTTAGATACCTGGTGCTATTCATCAAAGAGGGCAGCTAACTTCTCTATGATTCTATTTAACAATACTTTCACAATACCTCACTCCTGCCAGAATTACAGACAAAGAAGAAGCCGGTTCTTTTGGAAGGTAGGCATAATGCCCAATCTCAAGTCTGTATCACTTGTGAAAAATTCCTCAACATTTGTTTTCGGCTAGTGACTAAACAAAATGTTTCTTTGTTTTACTTGTAAAGTAACACTCAGCACTGAAGGTTTTTCTTTTTATTATTTTATACGAGATATTAAAATACATGCTTATGATTGATACTTTCATACAAGTGGCAATTAATAGCAATGATTTTTATGAAACCAATTAATATCACATAAACTTTAGAACCAGCTATCTGGCATTTAGAAAGAAGAGGAAAGCATTTAATGTATCATGATCTAACTTTAAAGTCAATGCAGCAGATAAGCCTTGCTCTGAATTTTGCTTCATCACAAATTCATGGGCAAGAGAAACAATGCAATGTTGATCTGTTATAAGTGCATATGAGCTCTGGCCCTTGGCAGCTCTCTGGAGAAAATCTTTGATTACATTGGTCCAGTTTGTTCTGTTTTTATCTCTTTTACATCCACTGGCATTGTATTAAATTGTCATTGTCCTAAAGCACATGAGATAGAAATGAATTGCAGTTCTCTACATTCTCTGACAGTGAAATATTTAGCCTCTCTTTCTCCAATCATACTTATGTGTGTATTTGATAGTGCAGGGATGACACCAAGCATCTCTGCGGCTTGACATTCTTATTGCATTTTGTATGTTTTGCCATTGATTATTATTTCCAGAGCCATGTAAATCTGGATATAAATCATCTATACCATGATTATTAAAATAAATCCAAAGCAGTAGATAGGATACACACACGAGTGTGTTCATGTGCATGTCTAACATGCGTGTGAAATATGCATATATATGGGGAAAGGGATGTTTGTAGCATATAGGTGTGCTGTTAAGATTGTCCATGTACATTTGTATAATAAAGTAGATCTCAAAATACTAATCTGTGGTCAGTTACATTTGCCAGGCATAATTGTAACCTGGAATTAGTATTTCAGGTATTTACCAAGTCTGATTTAAAACTGAATTGATTTAACTACTGTATATTAGACAGGTAACTGGTAACCTAGTAAGTAAATTTGTTTCTGACTTAAAATAATTTTAATTATTTTCATTCATGTATTGACTATATAGTAACCATAAATAAACTGTAAAGTAGGAAATAAACTACTGATATTAAATTTATCATTTAATGGGTTGGGCCCATATCCAAGAAAAAAATTTGAACTAGCTTCTGGCTACATCTTTCCCTGTACAATTGAGCCTGACAAATATATCTTAATGCAAAGCATAGGAGCTTTCAAAAATGCAAAATGTGAATTTAATTTGCCTACACTAAATAAATATGTCATTTGCTTATTTTCTTTTGCTAAAAGCAAATATGTAAAATTAATAAGTATTATGTTTATATAAAATACATCATAGAGTTCACAATGATTTAATTTGATTCTAAGAGGTAAGTTTAGAGGTCTCTGATTTTACTTTGATAAATCTGATTGTTGGGAAAAAAACACTTATAGAATTGCTCTATTCTTTTATTTTTGTCCCATTTTATATTTTTGTTTAAATTCCTAGCTTCATTTCCTACCTTTGTTTGCATAACACTTTAGCAAATTTACTGCTATTGTGTTTTTAAAAAAGTGCTAACTGCTTCTTTGTACCACCCATCAGATCAAAGTTAGCTCCCCTATTATCTGAAGGTGGTAAGAGACAGCCTTCTGTCTTTTGAAGGATTTACCTGGCCTTTTATTCTTGTTTGAAGTTCCTATTAGATTTATAATTTCTAAGGTCTAGGAAACCTCAGCTAATAAAAATAATTTCCATTCAGTTTTAGTAAACACATCTTTCCTCCCTGCTTTTTCTTTCCAAAAGTACAGATGTTTCTTTTTCTCAAATATGAACAATATTTCTAAGTATTTTTTTTATAATGAAGTATCTAAAACCATTGAATTGAGAGGGTTTAGACCTTTAGATACATGTATCCTGCCCATAATTTTTGAAAAATATTTTTAAATGTTTGGAGGAAACTTGCTTTTTATGTTTTGATTTCTTCAAATGAAATGCCATTTAAATTTATGGTGAGGCACATATATTTGAAAGGTAACCTACTAAAGCAAGTCAATAAAAAGAAAGGTACAGTTTTTAAAAATTTGGTTTATCACTGCTCAATTAAAGTTCATTAATTGTGCATATGTGCGTCTGCCTGTAGATATGTAACACAACACTACCATTAGAAATACAACTTATGGTTATATGCAATTCTTTCACACAATATAGTAATTGAAAATACCAGCTTTTGGCATTCAGAATTTCATAACTACTTAGTATAGTGTTCAAACTCATGGGGCATCTACTTAAGTTTAGATTGCATTCTTAAAAAAAAAAAAGAAAACTGAATTTCTATTTTAATTATAAAAAGCTGTTTTTGTAACATACAGTCCTGTGTGCCTTCTCATATTGCTTTGAGTGAAACAAAATTACATATATACCTTTCATCATTTTGATTGGAAGTACAGATTATGTGTAATATGCTTTGGCAGCACTTACCTAGCCAAAGAAAACAAATTAATATTGGGCATACTGAGGACTGTCAGGCATATCACAGACATGTCAATTTAACTTTGCTTCATCATACACCTTCTCCGAAAACAGTTGGTAAAGATGGTACTAAATAAAAGGCAAGCTACCAATAAATCCTCACATTATATCAGAGATTGATGGCTGGTAGGAGTGTAATGAAAACCAGCTTGCTTGCTTACTTGTCTTTAAAATCTAACTGTAGGAATACAGAGAGCATAGGGAATAATGAGTTTTGTATAACTGAAGCTCATTCAAATCTTTCTACCACCCTGGAAGTAAAATAGGATGTTAAAACAAAGGCTCTGACTTGGTAAACTTCAGTTGCTCTTATTTGTGAAACAAATAAAAACTTAAAGAAGTGGAGAATCTGGGAGGGTGCGGATTCACTTTGAAAGGAAAGCTTGCTTTGTGTAGCACTTTACACACATTTTCTGGGGAAGAAACAAATTTTTTTTTTAAGTGTGGCTTATTTAATTACCCCACCCCCAAGACAGAGATGAATTTAAAAAATCAAATCAAGAATAGAGCAAAAATTTCTGCACAAAAAATAGGCAGAAATACACTATTTTTTTCCCTTCCTGATCAGAATTTTATCTTGGCAAAGGATAATTCCTTTTTAATCTACTCTGGAAAAATTTTACTCATTTTTAATGGCTTTTGAGAATTTAAACAAAGGGCTTGTTAAATATATTCTCTTTCCTTTTAATACTCACAATGAGTACTGAAGCATCTAAAAGGTATACTTTTCAAGGCAGCTAATATGTGACAATATTTATAAGAATTTACTTTGCTTTGAAAAAAATTATTAAAGCAGCCTACTCATATATGCCAAAATTTTGTCCAGAGTTAGCAAAACTAGTAAATCATGTAGACAATTACAGAGGCTGGGGTACTTAAATTTTAAGAGGAAAAAAAAAATCAAATGTGAGGTTGTTCAGTCTATTGCCCCTTGCCCTCCATAATTCCACCTTATTGTAGTATTTTCACTTCTCCAAAAAAGTTAGGTGGTCATGTTAAATTGTATTCTTTTTTCCACAAGTGAAAGAACGTTCTGATATTTTTTTTTTACAGTCATTAGTCTATTAAACAATATCCAGATCAGATATTTGGGGGACTATTGTAACTGAATGTTGATGATCAGAAAAAGAGAAAGGTGTACATGGTTGATGAGAACCACCATGTCTGTTTCCTGTGAGAAAGTGACTGTATACAGTTGGTGCTGGGTCCTGTGAAATGACAGAAGCATCCCTTTTATCCATAGACTTGAATGAGACCTGCCTCATCAGTCATGGCACCATAGTGTCACAGATGGGAAAGCAGCCGTCAGCTGAATTGTACTGAACTACACACTTGGCTAATTCATCTTATTGCTCTACACATCTAAAGGAAGGCTCCTCTGTTCTTGGAGTCTAGACAGCATCAGGAGTTGGGCTCAGGTGGGAGCATGTGGCCGCCTTTCTCTGTTCTCTCCTAGCTATTCAGCAGAGGGAGGTGAGGAACAAATGGACAATTTATGTGCACAAGCTCAAGCAGAGAATCCTTTCCTTAGGGTCAGGAATTTGTTGATACCCAGTTGTCCACGTAAATTTCAGATGCCTCCCATGTTCTAGAAATGTCATTGTTGTTTTTCATGCTCCAAAGTACTACCCCTAGAAGAGGTTGTGTTTCCCCATTCCTAGGGACCACCAACTGGTTTGAGCATTTTTTAATAAGATAGAAATGGAGAACAGATATCTATGTTAATCTGGATGATGGTCTTTTTTTTATACTTTTATGTTAAACTATTCAGTTGGTTAAGTCTGAAGAATAAGAAAAATAATGAGGTTAAAAACTCAAATTGTATTTTTTTTATTTCTTTATTTCCTTATAGTGAACAAAACTTTAATGTCTAGAGCATTTATGAGGGTTTTAATGATTGGAAAATCTATCCTGAGAATGTGGTCACCATATGTGATAGCCTTGCTTTCTATCTTGTCTTCAGTTTATGGGGTAAGTTCGGTGATATTGTCTATTGTCTTACTTTGCTTGCATTGTAGAACCTCTGTGCGTTCACATTGAGGTTATCCGAAATGTGGGGGAATTGCCTGCTCAGTTCTAAAACAGTTCCCTGTACACCTTCCCCTCCTCAATCCCACGATTTTTTTCTTTTCTTTTCTTTTTTTTTAATTTCTGTTTCTATTAATCTGTTGTGCTAAAGGATCATTTACTTGGGAAAAAGGTAAGTGCATGATATTCAGCCATATTTGCACACACAGTACATGTTATTTTCCCTGTGAATTCCAAAGAGATTGCCTTCAACTTTTAATATTTGTTTTTCTTTTGTTTCTGTTTGTTGTGCATTCTAGTTGAGTGCTTTTATAGTGTTTTCTTGATTGTTGTCAGTTTGGGATACTCGAAGCTGACATTTTTGTTAAGTTAATGTCACAGCAGAAAAACCTATGGCAAACTGGAACCTGGCAAGAGTGCATAGAAGATACAACTTATGTTTGATTGTGTGTAAATACAGTTAGTTAGTTGGGGGTTTATCAGATAGCTTGGCAGAAAGAGAGGAGCAGTACAAACTGTTTTCAGTAACAGTGCTGTTCATACACCTGATAAGATTGAGAGAGCTTTTCGAAATGCTGATAGGCCTTGAATAAGAAAAGAATAATCACTTCTACTGGCACCAGCTTATCAGGAATGAAGTAAAATGCCAACACTTTTACATTAGCAAAAGTAAATGTTTTAGACACTCTGGGCCTATTTTCATGCAAGTTAAATAGGAGGGGTGCTTTAAAATGTGCTGTAATGAATAGAAGGATTTTTTTTTTTTACTTTGACTAAATTACAGGTGAATGTGTTGATAAAGGAACTTTCAGCATCAACAGCAGCATCTTTGATAAGCAGGTACATCTATGTTGGACATTCTCTGGAGAAATTAAGCATTTGCTTTTCCACTGCAGTTCTATTAGGCATCATTTCTGATGTTAGAAGATGCAGTTATGTCTTATGTCAGTCGAGTCTCCTTGTTTTTCCAGCAGATGGGTGACAGGCATTTGAAACTTAGCTTATCAGACTTATAAAATGCTGGTGTGCTATGGGAAGTTTGGGCATATCACTCAGTTTTGAACAGTTGTGCTGAACTGGCAAACTGTAAAAGAAATCTTTTTTTTTTTTTTTTTCAGGAGTGGGATGAGATTAATTATAAATTTAGAATGCCTTAACTAGAAGATAAATGTATTTTTCCAAGTAGCAGTTCATTTTAAGATGTCTCCCCTTAAAGAGAGAGAAAGATTGGTTTTGCTTTTCAATATAAACCATTAACTTTCCCAGTTCTACCATTTTCTCCTCTTTGTAATTTGACGCCTACAAATAATTTGGCGTATTCAGATTTGATAAATGATAGTGCAAGAGCAGATTGATTGATTTTGGATTACTATTGATTACTCTCAATGAGATCACTGTGACACACTCGAATCAATAGTATTCGATTAAGCGAGGCACCACCGTTCTATACATTCAGGAGCAGTGGGGAATTCGGGAACAGAATGTTCACAAGCTGATAAATTGACAAAGCGTTCAGCTTTAAATAGCCCTTTGTTCAGCACGAGTTCCTTAAAATATATTTCATTGGAAAGTTCGTTTTTGCAACTCGGGGCCTTCTGTGGAAAAAAAAAAAAGGTCATCAGTTTAAGGTTTATTAAATTTTAACTAAAAACAACTGGGCTCCATTTAGGTGTAAAATAATTTAAGTACTTACTGCAGGCAACCTTCATGCTTTTGAGCTGTCGCTCAAAGGTTTCATTCTTTTATGAAGATGTCAATTGTAAACATAAAAATGCATCGCTGGAAATGGAATGGTTTAAGATTCAAACTGAAATAAAAATTCCTGCCTCAGGAAAGCACTATAATCAAAATAAGGTGGTCTTAACTTTTCCTCTGAAGTGGGCATGCTTAGGAGCAGCGCTGGGAGGCAGCAGCAGGTGGAGTAGCTTGATCAAGACTGCTCATTTTTTTTTCTTATCTGAGGGTGTTCACCGTGTCACCAGTACTACATGGAAAACGCTAAATATAATTTGATCTGAAAGCATCTGATACATTGAAATCTTTCTGTCCTGAGCAAACTTACAAAGTCATTAGGAAAAAAATATCATCCATATTTCCAGTCCAGCCAGGCCCTCAAAGAAAAGATTTTCTATCATATTCCATCCTTATGTAGTCTTAGCACTTGGAATGAAACCTTTGCTCTTATGTTATATGGTATTGCTGAGTTGCTTTCCCAAAAGGTGCACAGTGTTTTAATTACTCCACGGACTATGTGAATGTTCTTACTTAAAAAAAAAAAAATCTGGTTGCAATGAGATTTTGTCTAGTAAGGCCTGTGTGTTCAAGGCCTTACTAGGTTAAACTTCTCTTCTTTTTTTTTTTTTTTTTTTTTGGTGGAGGTGGGATTGGGAGGGTTGTGGCTCTCACCTATGGCCTCATCTGCTATGTGAATGCTCTATCACTGAACTGCACGCCCAGCTCAAGTTCAAGTCTTAAAATATATGTAGATAAGTTCTCTCATTTTGATACTAATATTTAAAAGAGAATCCTCCCCCAAACTAGAGGTATTATGAATAGAAAAGTTTAGGATCATAAAATTAACTGTCAAAATATTGGGCTTTATTTTTTTCCTCTTGGCATGGAAGGAAGGTAATGGCATTCTAATTATATGAGGTTGACTCAGATGAAGTTGCCATTTTTGTAGGTCAAAAAAAGCAGTCAAATATCAGCAATTTCATAGGATTTAACCCAATAATTGAATTTATTTCTGTACTCTTCGTATTTCATAATAAAGTGGGAAATAAGTTGTTTTTATTTTATGATGGGTTATATCAGATTATGGGAGACACCTGAATTCTATCTATAATTATTGCAAATATATTGTAATATTTATTTCTAGCAACTGTGTCTTTTTGTTTAACACCAGTAGAGAGTTGCCAAGTAGAGTGTCTTGCACACACTGAAAACACTGTACATTCATCTAGTATTCGTCCTGTGGTAACTAAACTGCTTCTGAGAATCTGTGTATGCTTTTTCATCTTCTGAAGAAGAGCTGGCCACAAACAAGACAGCTGCCTCATTGTGTCAGGAAATAGTACTGACACCCCCCCACCACCCAAAGAGCACATTGCAGAGGGTAAAGTTTCAAAGGAAATTGGGGAGAGATGCCAACACCTCAAATATTTCATCTTCACATTCATTTGTTATGAGAACCTTAATATGCTAGTTAGCGCTTTTCATTGCTTCCCCCAGAGAAGTATTAAAACTGTACTCCTTGAAACGTGTGCACCACTGTGGAGTAGGCAGATGCAGAGTTCCCCGAGTTGGCACTGGAGCTGTCCATGCTTTATTGACCATTGCAGTCAGGAAAGGGGCTTCAAGAGATGTAATAAAATGATCCCAGAGCCACCATTTGACCCCCCAGATGTGAAGCTCCTTAATCGGAGCTGCCTGTTCGGGCCAATAGGAGCTTTCAGTGCCCACCTGCAGGCAGAAGCTGGCTCCCAGTTAGGAAAGAAATTGGCTCTGTCTATAAGTTGGAGGGAGGGGCTCTGGTGGCATTGCTGGAAATGTCAGCACGGAGTGCATCTTGACTTGGGGTCACGTCAGGACTGGGTAAGTTCTTGTCACTCTGGGTAAGCCCACGACAGCTTACATCTCGTTTTGGAGAGGAGGGTGGGCATCAGTTCCTAGAACTTGATTGAGTGGATGCCTCTAACTGGTCCCACTGTCAGACTTGGAGTTTTCCTTTAGTAGTGCTTTCCCCTCCCTGTCTGTGGCACTGAATTTGATTTATCGCTGGTACTAAGATCAAAAAAGAAATCATTCCTTTTGATGTTTGCTATTAGGCACATGTGGTGCAGGGGGCGCGGGGGCACTGGGAGGAGAGCAATCTTAGCATACATGTCACTGTCCTGGCCACACTGTGGCCACTGATGGAAGACTATGTATATTCTCTGTTCCTTTTGATTATAAAAATCCATGAATAAAGAGGTTAGCTATAGAGTATTTTAAATTAATTATGTTTAAATACAGATTCTTTTGGTAAGGACACAAAGTAGTAGCTCACACATTATACCTAATCAGAGTGACATTTCTAAGCTGTATTTGCATCACTTTTACCAAAAGACATAAAAAGCTCAGGAATATTAATAGCTCAATGGGGTTTAGTCTTTCTGTCAAAAAACAGCAATTGGTTGATTTTTTTTTTTTTTTTTGGTAGGTGGCTAACTTGGGACATCAAAGCCTTATTTGTTAAAAGAGAGGTGATATTTTTGTGGGGTCTGCTTCTCCTGGATCCAGATCAGCCTTTGTTTCCAGCTCTGTACAGTAGCTTTTGTCCGGCTTCTCAGTTAGTGGGATTTCTCCGAGCAGCATGAGCCCCAACCCATCAGCAGGCTGCTAGTCAGCAGCAGGTGTGAACAACATAAAACAGGATTAACACTGAACCAAAGTGTGTACTAAAAACAGAACCCCTGCCTTGCTTTTAAAAGGACTGCAGGACTGGAAGATAGAAGCCACTTTGGACCTGTACACTGCTTGTTTACTAAACAGTGTTCAATGGGCTATGTAAATGGCTCTGTTTAGGAGTGGAGGAGGCAGGAGAGGGAACTTGTCCTCATTCTGGCTTTCTTTTTTTAAACTATAAGCTCAAAACTTATGGAGAAAATCCTTCTAGAACTTCCAGGGGAAAAAATAAAGCAAAAATTACCTGGGTAAATCTTGAACCACAATTATGGGTTAATATTGCAAAGCTATTGTCCTTGCTTACAAATTAAAAGTTGATAATCATTTAATATGCTTTATTTCTCCCATGTAAAAAAAATATAGATTGGTTCATTATATTTTTATGTTTAATTACATGACATAATTTTTATTTTTACCTAAGTAGTAAACCAAAAATAACTAAGTAATTTCATTAGAGATTACATGTCGCCTCAACCCCCCATTTTGAAAGATATAAT